GCCACCGCACTCCAGCCTGGGTGACAGAGTGAGACCTTGTCTCAAAAAATAAAAAGGAAACATAAAGGCGGACCCTGGAGACAACTGGTAGCTTCCTTGTCTGAGTGCCCGAGTCTCAGGTCTAGACTTCTCAAGCCCTTGAGCAGGCAGGATCCTGGCCTATTGTGCTCCCAGATCCAGGCACCCAATGAGTGTCTGATAAACACGTCTATGAAATAAATGAAAGACTGGGGTGAGGAGGAGGAGGAGGCCAAGGCCCTGGGCCCTCCATCGACTGGCCATGTGAAGTCTGACAAAGCCTTGAACCTCTTGGGCCCTCAGGTGAGATAAGGGCACTGATGGAAGTGCCTTCTCCTCTCCCCGCCGCTAGGTGCTGGCCCCAGCTGTCACGTTCCATCCCAGCCTGCTAAGGAATCCAAAGTTCACTCTCCAGTCAGGCTCCTCTTGGCTGAAAATAGGCTTGTTTTTTAATTCCCTGTTGCCCCGGAAAAACAAGCTGGTTTAGAGGATGGGGGTGACGGGGTTACATGGAGACCAGTAGGGTGACCTTTGACTCTGCCAGCCCCACCTGCCCACTCTTGCCAGTCTGCTGGGCTGAGAGAGCTCCTCCTGGGCTGGGCAAGCCTGGGCAAGAAGCTGAGTAGTATGTGGACGAGGGTGGAAGGAGGGGCGCAGGTACTTCCTAACTCCCTGTACAAGACAAGCCCCAGTGGGCCCCGCCAGGACAGTGTCCCTCCTCCCTTGCCAGAGAGTCACCGTGAGTGTCTGCTCTTCTCTACAGGTTCTGAATGTCAGAGTCTAAGGCCGGATTCCAGCCTCAGTTTTACCTGTAAAAGAGGGCTGGGGCTTCCCAGAGTGGTCTAGATGGAGGCAAAGAGGCGAGAGTGCTAAAACCGTGCACCAAGCACCCGACCTGCACTCCGCCCCTGACAGGCATTCATCTTCCACAGCAGTGCTGTCAGTACTCAGCCCCACCGGTGAGAAAGTAAAGCCCAGAGCTCCAATAACTCGCTCAAGATTAAGCATTAAGTCATTAAGCAGTGTTATTAAGCAGCGGAGTCAAGCCTAACACCCAGGTCTGTCTGGCTCCTGAACCTGCCCGCCTTCTCCCATGCTGTGTTGCAGGCCCAGTGGTAATCATTATAGCAGTAATTCTATTCAGAGCTAGTTTTTATTGCCCGCCTACCCTATAGAGCACTTTGCCCACAATAATTCATGCAGATGAACTTTGCAAAGGTTAAGGGGCAACTCTTAGCATCAGCAAACATCTCTTAAAGCCATCAGGGTTTGCAAAATACTATTGCCCCTGAGTGATCCCCAAGCAGCTGGAAAGAAGCTTCAGCTATATTTCCCCGGGTCAGGTGGCTTCTGCCAATACTAAGTGCCTGCCTGGGAAGAGAACACTCAGGTCTGCCCCATTCCCATAGCCCAGGCTCCCAGCCCCAGCCCTCAGAGGCCAAGCCCACTGCACCCTGACTCCTTTCTCTTCCCAACCCTCTCAGCTATCTCGGTGCCCCAGCTTCCTCCACTACCCTACCCTGCACCCCAGGATATTTCAGGTCCAGTCCACTAGTTCCCCCACTCTCCTCCTCCCACCACCCAATGGGAGAGTCCTTGGCAGGCTTGAAGGGACGAGGTAGGAGCTGCAGCCCGAGGCAAGTCCCTCCATTCCAAACAATTCTGCGGGCAAGACAGACCCTGGAACCAGACAGATCAAGAACATCGCCTAGTTCAGACTGGAGCTCTCTAGCACCATCTGATCCTGGCAGTGCTACAGCCACAGTGATCCCTAAGCGTACAAGGGATCAGATCTACTTAAACACTTTGGTGGCCCTTAACTCACCCCCAAGGCCAGTGCCCACCTCCCTAGGGAATTTCTTATTTTTTGCAGACAGGATCTTACCCTCTTGCCCATGCACAATCATGGCTCACTGCAGCCTGAACCTCTAGGGCTCAAGGGATCCACCTACTTTAATCTGCTGTAGTGTTTTTTTTTTGAAACAGAGTCTCCTCTGTCACCAGGCTGGAGTGCAGTGGCGCGATCACAGCTCACTGAAACCTCTGCCTCAGCCTCCCAAGTAGCTGGGATTACAGGCGAGCGCCACCACACCTGGCGAATTTGGTATTTTTAGTAGAGGCAGGGTTTCACTATGTTTTCCAGGCTGGTCTTGAACTCCTGACCTCAAGTGATCTACCCATCTCGGCTTCCCAAAATGCTAGGATTATAGGCGTGAGCCACTGCGCCCTGACAATTTTTTTTATTTTTATTATTTTATTTTATTTTTTTAAGAGACGGGGTTTCACCATGTTGGTCAGGCTGGTCTTGAACTCCCGACCTCAGGTGATCTGCCTGCCTTGGCCTCCAAAGTGCTTGGATTACAGGCGTGAGTCACCACGCCTGGCCCCTATTTTTATTTTTGTAGAGACAAGGGTCTCACCATGTTGCCCAGGCTGTTCACAAACTCCTGGACTCAAGTGATCTGCCTGTCTCGGCCTCCAAAAGTGTTGAGATTACAGGTGTGAGCCATGGAACCCGGCTAGTTTTTTTTTTGAGATGCAGTCTCACTCTGCAGCCCAGGCTTAAGTGCAGTGGCGCGATCTTGGCTCACTGCAACCTCCGCCTCCCGGGTCCCGGTTCAGAGTTCTCATACCTCAGCCTCCCAAGTAGCTGGGATTACAGGCACGAGCCACCATGCCCAGCTAATTTCTGTATTTTTTAGTAGAGATGGGGTTTCACCATGTTGGCCAGTCTGGTCTTGAACTCCCGACCTCGTGATCCTCCCCCCCCCGGCCTCCCAAAGTGCTAGGATTACAGGTGTGCCTTTTTCAAACGAACTCACTCTGTCGCCCAGGTTGGAGCGCAGTGGCGCGAACTCTGCCTCCCGGGTTCAAGTGATTCTCCTGTCTCAACCTCCCGAGTAGCTGGGATTACACACACGCGCCACCACGACCAGCTAATTTTTGTATTTTTAGTAGAGTCGGGGTTTCACCATGGTCAGACTGGTCTCCAATTCCTGACCTGGTGATCCGCCAGCCTTGGCCTCCCAAAGTGCTGGGATTACAGACTTGAGCCCCCGTGCCAAGCCTGAAACCGGCTAATTTTCTTAACATTTGTATCTCTGTAGAGGCATGTTCTCAAACTCCTGGGCCTGGGAAATCCTCCTTCCTCGGCCTAGTAGTTGTTGGAATTACAAGTCACCGCGCCAACCCCGGAGGGCATTTTCCATCTCGCTAGGCTACACTCATCCTCCAGAGCAGTCCTCACAGCCTTCCACCCGGCTATTGCTCTCCTGTCGCCCCGGGCCAGAAGCAGAGAACGACACAACAAACAGTGACTCAACGAACGAGAGTGCGGCCACAGTGCGCAAGGAGCCGGACGAAGGTCACCGAGAGCGGCCGTGACCGCGCTTCACCGACCCCGGCCACTCCGAACCGGCCAAGGCCTCCCTAGCCACCCGCGACGTCGACCGGAAGCGCCATGTGCGGGTCTGTAAACACGGCCCGGCCGCCCCGCCCCCGGCCCGCCCCCGGCCTCCCTGGCCCAGGACCCGCCCCAGCCGCCTCCTCATTGGGCGACCAGCTTTGTTTACCTTATATGGCCAGGTCCTAACACCTCGAGGCTGCCTATTGGTCAAGATACGACCTCACTCACCTGACGTCACCCAGACCAAACGATGCAAATAAACCGGGGCATTCTGGGAATGGGAGTTTGAAGCCGCTCCGGAACTGGCTCCGCGGGGCCCTGGCGCCCGCCAGCTGATAGCCGAGATTTCCGGCAAAGAGCAAGAACGGTGGGACCGTGGGAGAACTGCTGGGAGGGGGACCCCGAAGCGCCAGAGGCTGCCGGCCCCGTCAGCCTGTCCCAGGCGCCGTCCACAGAGTCATCGGGCTACTGTGGGGCAGGTCCAGAGCGAAGCTGGGAAGGACCTGAGCCACGAGTGGGCGTTGCGAGACTGAGTGGGGAGACCCAGGAGGCTGCCTGGAGGCGATGACTTGCAGCGGAGCTTTGAAGGCCGGATTCACTCACTCATTCATTCATTCATTCATTCACGGAATGAGTATTTGTTGGCACCTACAGTGTGCCAGGCCTTTCGGGACTTTGCAGCCTAGACCAAAGATTTGGGCCAAAATTCGTAGAGCCTCCTCTCTTAAGGATGTGCCTACTACTTAACATAGTGCGATGCCAGTTACAGAGGGGTTCAGGGTCCCTGGGTCTTGGCAAAGACGCCTGTGGCCCAGTGTTTGCGCCCATGCACACATCTGTGTCCCCCACCTTGGGACCCCAATTTGTGCCAGCGCAGGGGAACGGATGCCACCGAGAGCAACGAGGGCAACATGGACATGCCTGGCTCTGGCCATGGCCTGGACATCTGCAGACAGTAGGCGCTCAGCGTTCAGTCACAATACCCGGGGCTTGGCAAAGACATCTGTGGCCTGGCGGTTTGCGCCGATACACACATCTGTGGCCCCGGCCTCTGGGCTTCTAATTCCGGCCAGAGCTCGTGGATGCTACCGAGAGCAACGAGGGCGTGGACATAACTGGCTCTCGTCCCGGCCCAGGTGCTTGCACACAGTAGGCGCTCAGCATTCAGACACCGTTCCTGGGCCTTGGCAAAGACGCCTATGCACAGATCTGAGGCCCGCGCCTGCGGACCTCCATCGGTGCCAGAACAGTAGCGCAGGTGCCACCCAGAGCAACAAGGGCGACGTGGAGGCCCCCGGCCCTGGTCACGGTCCGGGCATATGCACACAGTAGGCACTCAGCATTCAGACACGGTCCCCAGGACTTGGCCAAGACCCTGTGGTCGGGCGTTGGCGCCCATGCACAGACGTGGCCCCCGCCTGGGGAGCCCCATCTGTGCTAGAGCAGGGGCGCGGGTGCCACTGAGAGCAACTAGGGCGACGTGGACATACCCGGCTCGGGTCACGGCGTGGGCATCCGCACAGCGGGCGCTCGGCGCTTAGACACGCCCCTTCCCCAGCTTCGCGTCCCCCGGGGCACCGGCCACACTCCGCCGGGGAGCCTGGCGCGGCGCGGGGACTACATCTCCCAGCATGCCGCGGCGCCGGCCGAGCGAGGCGAGGCGCGGTGAGTCAGAGCCGCACAGTAAATATTTGTATTAGCCGGAGCCGGCTCGCTAATGGTGGACGCGTGAGGCGGAGGCGCGGGCGGCGGAGGGAGGCCGGAGCGGGCAGCGCGGCGGCGCCATGTCCGTGAACATGGACGAGCTCAAGCACCAGGTCATGATCAACCAGTTCGTGCTGACTGCGGGCTGCGCGGCCGACCAGGCGAAGCAGCTGCTGCAGGCGGCCCACTGGCAGTTCGAGGTGCGCGACGCCGGGGCTGGGGCCGCGGGTGGAATGTGTCCCGCGTGGCCGCGGGGCGGGGGTGGGCGGTGTGGACGCGTGCCGGCTGTGCGCTCCGCTCCGGGCCGCGGACTTGACCCGCTCTCCAGACGGCGCCGCCCGGCGTCCCGGCCCCGAGGGCTCCCAGCGGGTGGAGGTCGGAATCAGGCTACGGGTCGGCGATACGTCACCCCCGCGGGGCCCCGAGTCCCCCGGGATCGAGACGGAGACCCCCCCCCACCCCTTTTGTCCGGGTAACGGCCGAGGGCGGGGCTGCGCCTCAGTGCGGACAGACAGTCGGGCTGGCGGCCGGAAGGAGGACGCCCCAGGCCTCGGCAGAGCTGGGCCGGAGGGCGGAGCCGCTCCGGGCTAGTGGTCCGAGGGTCCGCGTGCCTGGTGGGCAGCCGTCGGCGTGCGCAGACGTCCATGTGCATTTCTGTTTACGCACGCACCGCGCCACGGCGTTGGCCGGGTACCGTGGAGGTGGCGGACCTGCTGGCACGTTGGCTGGCGCGCGTGTGAACGCGCAGCCCCCCGGTGCGTTTGGTGTGTGATCAGCACGTACATATGTGGCGGGTGTGCAGATGCAGCCCCTGCCTGGCACGGTGTGATGTGTGTACACGGCGTGGAGTGTATGGGTGTCGTGTTGGAGCCCCATACTACAGCATAGGGATGAGCATGTACCCCCTCCAGAGGTGTGCCTGGGGACACCATGCTCGCGTCCAGGTGCTCTCCAGAGGCTGGCAGGGGTAACTGTGCCTTTGCCGGTGCACTGGGGAGGATGTACACAATTCACCAGCTTTCAGGCCAGCTGGGTAGGAGGTGAGGCTGCCCCAGTCTGGCACCCACTCCCCGGGCCTCCCTTAACACAGGGTAGTAGTGCTCTTGGCTTCTGCTGCCCAGAGGCTGTCTGGCCTTCCCTAATTCACCGACCCCAGGATTAACCCCATGGTAGTATCGGGATGAGGCCAGAGCCCTATGAGCTGTGCCCCTCAAGGGCAGGGTCACGGCCTAAGCCATCGTACCATCCGTGCCCAACTGGGGACTGGAAACCTGGTTTCTCCATGAGGAGTTGTGCCAGGGCCTGCAGGAGGTACCAGGAGCTAGAGGACTCTGGGGCTCCGCCTCCTGGGGACTGGTTGGGGATCAGAATGTCCTAAGCTTGGGACAGTCTGGGAAGGCAGTGGCCATCCCACCCAGATGACTCCATCCCTCCCTCCTTGCCCACTTCCCTCCTACCAGAGGTCTTGGGGGCTACTGACCGTTTGTGGTGTTCACTCTGGGAGGTGGGAGGCTGCTCTGTCCTTCTGGACTCAGTTTCCACATCTGCATGTTGTGGGGGGAGCTGTGAGTCAGCCTCTGATGGCCAGCTCACTGCTCCCTGTTCCCCGAGGCAGCCCCACCCGGAGGAAGCTCCCTGCTGCCCCCCTCTCCTCCACAGCTCACATCAGCCCTGTTTGTGTCAAGGGTTGGATGTAGCAAAACTTGCAAAACCACATTCATGGCAGTCCCACATCTGCATGCAGGGTTCCCTTCCTGCCTGGGGCTGGGCAGGCAGGTGTCTGGGTGGGAGGCGAGCCCTGCATGCAGAACCCAGCCCAGCCCTCAGAGCCTGGCACCCAGCAGCCACCCAAGCCACTTGAGCCGCTTCTGTCAGCGGCAGGGTTAACTGAAAACTCTGATATGCGCAGCCCCCCACCCCGTGCATTTGGTGTGTGATTAGGGCACCAAACTGTTCCCAGGAGGGGTAGGAGCCCCTGATGGTTCCCAGTGACCCCGTGGTGGGAGCCCTGGGCCCTCCACCCCCTGAGTCTCAGTTGGGCCATCTGTAAAGTGGAAGCTGCCAGGGAGGCTGGAGGAAGGTGACAGGACTTCAGGCCTTGGAATGGGGGTGAGTGAGGGGCTCATGTGGCCACCCCATCCCCCTCCACGCTCCACCCGCATCCACCATGCGGTGTTTCTGGGTCACTTTCGCTGCAATTCAGGTGCTAACGGGGGCAGGAGGCTGCAGGGGGAGGGGCCTGTGTCTAGTGGGGCAGATGTTTCTCAGTGGAGAATATACACAGCGGCCTGCAGAGGGGGTTCCGGTTGGGATTTGCACAGCGAGCCTGGGCTTTGGGACACAGCCACCACTGACCGAGGGTCTTGGGATCTGGGAAGGTGCTTAAAGACCAGCTCCCATGCCTGAGCTCCCACACCACCCCTGTTTGGGGATACCCAGGTAGGATGTTTCCTGCAGGAAATTTCCCAGGTATTTTTAAAAGATTTTTTAAAACATAGCAGCCCTCCTACCCCCATCCCCCTAACCAAGGGCAGATCCTGGGAACAGTCTGGAGTTCTGGGTGTACCAGGTCTGGGAGGGCCAGAAAGTCAAGCTAGCATGGGGGGAGTGGGCCTGAGGGGTGGCAGTGGGGGCACCTCAGCTGCTTGAAGCTCCAAGTTTGGGCCTGGAACTTGGCAGGGCCCCAAGGACCCCTCACACACTTGCAGGGCTCCCTCACTGGCCCTTGTGCAAGAGCAGCCTCCGTTCTCTGGGACAGGCCTCCCCACCCATGCCGGGCCCCAGCCAGGACGTAGCAAATTCCAGTGCCTCCCTCTGGGGCTCCTCAGCTCCCAGTCACCAAGGACCTCTGAATGAAGCCTGCCGAACTGACACACACAGAAAAGGGCTCCAGGCTCGCTCTGTCTCCCTCCCCTACCTGCCCTGGCTGTTCCTGAGCACTCCCTTCTCTGTCTCCTGCTGACCAGCTGACCGTCAGCAAGTCACTTCCTACCTTCATTTCCCTGCCTGTGCGGTGAACGATGACAATCCATGCTCCCACTTAGAGAGAGACCTGCTGGGTGCCCGCACCATGCTCAGTGTGGCATGTGGCCCCACTGTGGAGCATCATGTGCCTAGCATGGTGCAAGCCAAGAGCGGGTAGCTGGGGAGCTATGCCGGGAGCTGTTGTGAACCCATGGTGGCTTTGATCCTAGGGCTGTCTTTCTGCTTCACCACCTGGGCCCTGTTCCGAGGGAGGCTCGGGTAGGTGAGCGAGTGAGCCTAAAGCCCAGGCTTGTCTACTTGGCACCAGGCCCTGCCTGCTGGAATCTGGTGACCTCAGATCACTGTTGCAAGAAAGGGGACCCTGGAAGCCACTTAGTCCAGCCTCTTTGTGGTACAGATGGAGAAAACAAGGCCCAAACAGTGGCCCCTTGATCAGCCAGAAGCAGAGCTGGGTGGGGCAGCAGGGGTTCCCACCTGCCAGGCTCAGACTCCTGCAAGATGCCCCAGCTTCAAAGATGAGGAAACCAAGGCTTAGAGAAGAGACTTGCTACCTGTCATGGTGGTGACAGCAGGCTAGAATTTCCTGAAACAGGATGGTGGTGGGGGTTCTGGTTGGGCTACTTGGGGCCGTGCTGCCTTTACCCCAGGATGAGGTGAGGGTACTGTCCGTCATGTTGCGGAGGGGGCTCTGCAGGTCTTAGGCACTGAGGCAGGTGGCAAGCAGCAGGGGAATGGCGGGTACCCAAACTGCCTATGGTGTTTCATGGCTCTTCCTTGGACAGTGGTGTGGGTTGGGGGTGACAGGCAAGCCACTGGGCCTCAGCACCGAGACTTGCCCCTCCCACTCACTACTCCAGCCAGCGTCATCACTAACCTCAGAGAAGTGGGAGAACAAGGGCAGCGCGGCAGGGCTGGCAGGGGCCTGGAGGGTGAGCAGGCACTTTTCTTCCTGCAGACAGCCCTCAGCGCCTTTTTCCAGGAGACCAACATCCCCTACAGCCACCACCACCACCAGATGGTAAGTGTCCCCAGAGACCCCAGTTCTGGGTTGGGTGGAAGGAGGCCAAGCTAGTTCCATGCATAAGCAGCCCCTGGCCCACGTATGTGAGGGCACTGGTGTAGGCGGGGGCTTGACCTCTTTGGAGATCGGTGGCTTCGTGGGTCCTGCATTTAATCCTGCCTGTGGCAGTTCCCCGTGAGACCTGTGGGGCGCTGGCCTCTGGGTCATTGAAAGTCCTCATCCTGCAGCACCCCAGGGATGCTGTGGCCGGGGGAATGAGGCGGGCTGGGAAAGCCTTATGGCCCCAGGCACTGGGCTGCCCAGAGTGAGGCCAGGTGAGTTCATCTCTGGGTTTCTCTCGGAGCCCCTGGGTGGGAGCCCCTGGGTGGGAGCCCCTGGGTGACAGACCAGCTGGGGCAGCTGGGGAAGGGACACAGAGCCTTCTGAGAATGGGGAAGCCACTCGTCTCCCCTTGGGAGGCAGTGGGGGCCCCTCCAGGAAGGGGTGCTCATCCCATCTCTCCTCTCTTCCCCCTACAGATGTGCACTCCTGCCAACACCCCTGCCACACCCCCCAACTTCCCCGACGCTCTCACCATGTTCTCCCGTCTCAAGGCCTCCGAGAGTTTCCACAGCGGTGGCAGCGGCAGCCCAATGGCTGCGACAGCCACGTCGCCCCCACCGCACTTCCCCCATGCCGCCACGGGTAGCTTCTCGGCCCCCAGCTGGCCCACGGCCGCCTCGCCCCCGGGGGGCCCACAGCACCACCAGCCACAGCCACCCCTGTGGACTCCGGCACCCCCTTCTCCGGCTTCAGACTGGCCACCCCTGGCCCCCCAACAGGCCACCTCGGAACCCAGGGCCCACCCTGCCATGGAGGCAGAGAGATAAGGGAGGCCCCTCCCCCCTCCCGGAGCCCAGGACCCCGTGGGGCGGGGGAGAGGACGTCTCCGCGGGCCCCCTTCACCCCTTTTATGTCTGCACCCCTTGGTCCCTGGAGCCCTGGAGGGGAAAGCACGGACTCTAGCCAGGCAGGGACATGTCTGGTGCCAGAACACGCAGCTGCCCACACGCAAGGTCATGGCCGGCACATGGAGTGGTTCAGAGCAGCCTGGGTGCCTGGCGGTCAGAACTTCAGAGACCACACGGCCTTCCTTCGAAGACGAACCTGCCCCACCTGGCCCAGGGGTACCGAAGAGGACCACCCTGGCGGAGACATCACTGATCCCTGGCTTGGAGCTCCTTGGGGGCCGGCAGGCCTCGACCCCCACCCTAGGGAATGCAGAGCCTCTCCGCATGTGTGCGCGTGGCCGTGTCTGTGTATTTCTACGTGTCGCTCTTCAGAAGCAACTTAGTTCCCGGGGCAGCTGGACTTTGCATGTTAGAGTGAGCCCCCAGCCCTCTGCCCACCGCCCCCTCCCCAGGGCCCTGCCTCCTGCCCCACCCCTTCATCAGCCAGCGTTGCTGTTCCTTGCAGAGAAAAGGATTGTGGGAAACTCCAGGACTCTTCCCACTGCCTCCCAGCGCCTGCCTGCTGGGGCCGCCTGCATGCCTCCCCCTGGGCCTGGGGGTACCCGCATCCACTTCCTTTCCCGCTTTTAACAAAAGAGAAGAACGAATTCCAAACCACTGCCAGGCTCTGTGGTCTTACCTTGTGTACGAGGCTTGCTGCCAGCTAGCTCTGGGGGGTGCTGGCCAGAGGACAGGGCCACCCCCAGCCTCCCTGGCTGCACACTGCTGCCTGTTGCCCTTATCAGCCACAGTATGCTCTGGAATCTTCCTGTCCACCCAGGGCTTTTCCTGTGAAGTTAGTTCCCAGCCTGGGTCCCCATCCTGTCAGCCTACCCCTGCCCCTGCTTGGCTGGACAGATCCTCGCTCCTGGTTAGGAGCACATAGGGCTCATACCTGCCTTCTGTCGTCCTGGGTTTCATCTCAACTTTTCTTGGTCATGGCTCCAGTGACTAGGCACAGGCTGGACCCTCTGAGCCAGGCCTCCAGCAGACACTGGGTAGGGCACGGCCTCTGAACAGACAGAGCCAGGGATGCTCGCAAGGGCCAGAGGACAGGGCAGGGGACAAGGACGTGGCAGAGTGCTGCTGGCAAAGGGGGAGCAGATGTTGGGTCACTTAGGAGACAGGCAACCCGAGGCTGCCTGGGATGAGCTGCAGCAGCTTTAGGAGAATGTACCCTCAGCCTCACACACCCCCAAGAGTGGGCCTGGACTTGGGGCAGAAGGGAGACTGGAGCCTCTGCAACACCTCCACGGGGTTCAACTCACAGCTGCTCACGGGCAACGCTCACTCCCATCTAAGCACCAGCCCCTGGCGGAGCCCTGCCACCTGAGTGGGAGAGCATCTTTCTGAAGATCCTGTGCTCGCCTGGCATCCGATGCTCCCCATTGACCCTTCCTGGCTCCCAGGGATGTGGCTGTGCCTCTCAGGAAGCATGCCTTGGTGCTCTTGCCACACCAGTGCCTGGCTTCATCTCCACCCAGTTGGAACCTGCAGAGGCTGTGTTGACAGAGCCCACCTGTGGTGGCTACTCACTGGCTGCTTGGCACTGGCGACTGACTGCTGCGACCCCCACTCGAGCCATGCTTGCTTCCCAGGAATGGGTCCACCTGGGAACCCGCCTTTGTAATAGCCTCTTGGAGCCCACAGGATGGGGGGCCCTGGCCAGCCAGCACCCTGAATCCGCCTGGGGTGCCTGGGTAGCAGGGGAGGGAGAGAACACAGCAGCAGGAGGGGGAGGACATCTCTGGCCTCCTGTCTTCACTTTGTGGCTCCTCCATTCTTTGAGATGGAAAAAAAATTCTCAGGAAATTGCCATACCTGCCTTCCAGTGGTAGGAAAATGTTTTGCAGAGAGAAATGTTTTGTGGTAATCTGCAGTGTGGGGTGGAGTGCCCTTTGACTCTCCCACCTCTCACATGCTAAGCTGCTGCACATGTCCGCCACACATGAGGCTGTGAAGTCCAGGACTGTACAGTGGGAGGCTCGGGAGTGCTGTTTTTGTTTTTTGAGACGGAGGCTTTCTCAATCGCCCAGGTTGGAGTGAAGTGGCACGATCTCAGCTCACTGCAACCTCTGTCCCCCAGGTTCAAGCAGTTCTGCCTCAGCCTCCTGTAGGTGATACTACAGGCGCCCTCTACCATGCCTGGCTGATTTTTTTTTTTTGAAATGGAGTCTCACTCTGTTGCCCATGCTGGAATGCAGTGGCATGATCTCAGCTCAGTGCAACCTCCGACTCCCAGGTTTAAGTGATTCTCCTGCCTCAGCCTCCTGAGTAGCTGGGATTACAGGCGTGCACTACCATGGCCTGCTAATTTTTGTATTTTTAGTAGAGACGGGGTTTCACCATATTGGCCAGGATGGTCTTGATCTCTTGACCTCGTGATACTCCCATCTTGGCCTCCGAAAGTGCTGGGTTTGTAGGCGTGAGCCACTGCACCTGGCCTAACTTTTGTATTTTAGCAGAGATGGGGTTTCACCATGTTGGCCAGGCTGGTCTCGAACTCTTAAACTCGGGTGATCCACCTGCCTCGGCCTCCCAAAGTGCTGAGATTACAGGCGTGAGCCACCGCACCGAGCAGGGAGTGCTGTTTATTAAACCGTGAGCCTTGGGGCAGCCTGTAGTGGACCACACCCTCATTATTCAAGGCATGGTCTCGACCCCAGCATCACCCAGGAGCTTATTAGAGTCAGGCTGCAACCCAGACTCCCTGAATCAGAATCTGATTCTAACAGAAGCCCCTGGTTCCAAAGAGACATCAAAATTTAGGAAGTGTCCCTATAGAACATCGTCACTAAATACCAGGGACACTGTCCCACCACCCCCATTTCTGTTTCTGGGGGCCACTGTGGACTGGGCTTGGGGCTCTCAAGTGGTCACATTAAGGGTGGAAGAGACTTGAGGTTCCTGCAGAGCAGGCTTTTTAAGCGTGGTCACTTTTGACATGGAGGGCTATCATTGTCCCTGCAGTGGTGCTGAGCTGTATCCCTGAGTGCTCCCCACTGCATCCAGGGGCAGCCCCCTTACTGGGACAATCAGAAGTGTTTGTAGCCAGTGCTAATGTCCCCTATAGGTCACCATGGCCCCAGTGGAGTGCCTCTGTGCTAGTTCTGTGGTTCTCATACCTGGCTGCACAGCAGGTAAAATAAAACCAGCAAACTACAGGTTCCTGGGCCTCATGGCATCAGACTCTGGGGCAAAGGCCTGACGTATGATCATGGAAGCTCCCCGGGTAGATGATGGTGACTGATCTGTGACTGCACCAAAAAGCACTCAATGGCATGCTTTAGAAAGGCGAACGTTCTGGTGTGTCAATTATACCTCAAAGCTCTTACTGAAAATAAAACAGCTCCCAGGTTTCTCATGTGCCCATCTAGCCATGCCCCCTACATGGTAAGTGGGCACCTGCAGATGATCCCCGGACTTCCAGAGCACAAGGGTCCCCCTGGCTGCTTGTTGAACACGTTCCTGGCCTTTCCCTGAGGCAGTTGTTTTGGAGGAGGGTCCCAGAATCTGATTTCTTTGTTTTTTAGAGATAGAGTCTTGCTGTATTCCCCAGGCTACAGTGCAGTGATGCAATCATAGCTCGCTACAGCCTTGAAATCCTGGGGTCAGGTGATCCTCCCACCTCAGCCTCCCAAGTAGCTGGGACTACATACAGACACTTGCTACCCCACCTGGCTAATTTTTTAAAAAAATGCTTTGTAGAGATGGGGTCTTGCTATGTTGTCTGGGCTGGTCTTGAACTCCTGGCCACAAAAATTAGCTGGGCATGGTGGCATGTGCCTGTAATCTGAGGCAGAAGGTCACAGTGAGCTGAGATGGTCCCACTGCACTCTAGCCTGGATGACAGAGTGAGACTCCATCTCAAAAATAATGGAGCCAGTGACAACCTAGTATGTGTTAAGGTGTACACTGGCTGAACTAGCACAGCAGACTCATGTTTACAGGCCTTCATCTTGGGCACAGCCTGGGAGTTGCCTAAGTGACACAGGAAAACCCGCCATGCTCCTTGACAGTCCAGCCTCACCAGGGCTTGGTCACGACCCTCCTTGCCCAGCAGATTTGAGCTCCAAATGACCTTTGATTATAAACAAAATTTCACTTTTTTTTTTTTTTTTTTTT